GTGTATATGTATATATATGAACATATATATGCACACACATACACACATACACACACACACACACACACACACACACATATATATATATATATATATATACACATACATGTGCATTATATATATATATATATATATATATATATATATATATATATATACATACATGTCCATTATATATATATATATATATATATATATATATATATATACATATATATATTTATATATATATACATATATATATATATATATATATATATATATATATATATATATATACATATATATTTATATATATATGCATATATATATATATATATATATATATATATATATATATATATATATATATATATGTATGTGTGTGTGTGTGTATACCTACTCTGTGAAGGTGAGTAAAGGAGGTGGACTCGACTTACCCCTGTGACCTTTACGCTTCGTGTTACAGCTTAATATCAAGCTTATTACGAAGCATTGATAACACAGGAACCTTTTCATTCCATTCGTAATTTATTTACTTATTAATTTATTCACTTATTCTTTTTTTTTTTTTTTTGGGGGGGGGGTACTTACTTATTCATTTATTCACTTATTTTATTTATTCATCTATTCATTTTTTGGGGGGTGGGTATGCCTGTGTTAGAATTATCTTCGAAAATAAACAAAATCAAATAAAACTTAGAGAATTTGAATACAATGATATCTTAGGGTGAATCCCTTCTTATGCAAATGAGTGGGTGTTCGAAAGGTGGGGGGAGGAAGACTGTAAATAAGTATTTTTAGTTTAGTTCAAGGTGAAAAATGCACTGTATATACATCTAACTCAAGGTGAACACGCAGTTAAAAATATTATTCTTAATAAGAGAAAATGTATATTTGTTTGTTGTGTGTGTGCGTGTGTGTGTGTGTGTGTGTGAGAGAGAGAGAGAGTATGTGTGTGTATGCAGCATGTGTCTGTGTGGGTATGTGTATGTGTTTGTGTTTGTTTGTTTGTTTGTGTGTGTGTGTGTGTATTTCTGCATGTGTGCGCATGTATATATCAAAGTCGCTCATAAGGAACACAGAGATTCGTCAACAGATGACATTTCCCTGACGTATGACTTAGTGATTAAATTCTTTTCTAACTTTTTTTTTTCAATGGTGAATCGTACATAATTCATTTCCCCTTTCATCGCATTCCATTGCCTTTTCCTTTTATTTATTTTTCTTTCCTTTAAATTACTTCGGTATTCATATTTTAAACTACAATCAAAACGACCAGAATCAATGAAGGGAAAACTCCAACCAAGCCTGTTTTCATTGCCAACCAAAAATATACTAAAGAACATTAAGCTGAATTTCCATAATGTTAATCAGATTATGTGACTGGTTGCTTGTTTCAACGCACTGGCTATTGTTGACACAAATCTGGGGTCACTTGTTTCGACGCATGCAACGCAGTTGACTCGAACCTTGTTTCGACGCATGTACCACAGTTGGCAAGGATCAGTTATCGCTTGCTCTGGACGCATTTCCAATTGAGATTCAATTCAGGATCTCTTTAACACTCTTGTCATATTATAATTTGATTAGTCTGTTAGGTTTGGCTAGATTAGATTAGGTTCTCACAGAACCTTTTATCGTGTATCGCTAGCGCCTTATTTTCTATGGCAAGAATGGGAGAGCTGACAGGAATGATTTTCCAGCCTGGAAGATACATTAGGGCGCAGTTATTTGGTCTGCAATGATGATTTACTTCGATGAAAATGCTTGAGAGTTAGAAATGTGTGTAGAGTAAGTAGGTAAGTAGAGATCTACTGTAGATAAACTTATTTCGGTAAGTGGAGATTTAGGTAAACTAATATATAGGTAAAGATCTAGTTAAGTAAGTCGTGTCTGGCAAATACCATATATCAACCAGAAAAAATGGTATTCTCTGCTTCACTGGATTTACAATGGATTTATAATTCTAGTGTTTCACTAAAGAAATGTATCGAAGCATAGATGTATAATTAAGTTACTTTATTCCGAGTGCATTCGCTATTTTACCTATAAGAGAGAGAGAGAAAGAGAGAGAGAGAGACAGAGACACAGAGAGAGAGAGAGAGACAGACAGACAGACACACAGACATACAGACACACAGACATACAGACACACGGACAGACAGACAAACAGTGACAGAGACACTTGATCAAGATCTATAACCCATGACCATGCATATACCTATATGACCCACATATAACACCGACAAAATAAGTCGCCAAAACCACATCCATCTCCACCTACCTGTTCCTCTTAATTAGAGAATACCAAACATGTTGCCAAAAATCAAACCTTATTCTCACTTTATTCCTCAACACAGACTGAGCTTCACCCCTACCCCCCCTCCACCTCCCCCACCACCTCCACCCTTCCCTCACGTAGTCAAAACAGGTGTTCCGTGTGCATTGAAGCGCAGGGTAGTCACGTACAAGCACACAAACAAAACGTGTTTCGGATTATCAACAAACCCGCGTCTCA